CTAGCTTGGGTGCCTGTGTCATACTTCATTGAACTGTGTGGATTTACCCTCTGAGCCTGTTTCAGCGCAAGGATTTCAGGCCAAGATTCGATAATCTTAAACGAATGCCCTACACCACTTGCTATTTTTAGTCTTATCTCTCTTTCCCTCTTCCCCCCCTTCCCTTCTTGTCATAACATTTTTGAGAGGTCTTGCTTCCTCCTAAGGGTAAATGGGAAAATTCTGAAATTTTAACAATGGTTAGATGTAACAAACATTTTACACTGAAGTCGTTAGACATTTCACATCTACTCCTCATCTTCTCAAGAGAGCTCATTGCATCATGCTCTGCACATGAATTCTTTAAGTACAAATCATTTGGATTTTCCTGTTGTTAATTCCTGGAAAATAGAGCTTTCTTTCCTCCACAAGAGGAAGAAAAAATAAATTCTTCAAATGTTCCTTGAATCATCCTTGAAAAAGAAGAAGAACTTTTCTAGCAGCCTCTTCAAAAAAAATTCATCAATCATACCAAGAGACTGTTTCAGTTGACTTATTAAAATTATAAAATTATTAAGCTGGTTTTAGTACTGTACACTACAACTATATCACCTAAACTAAAATTATCTTTCCATTTGACATCAGTGAAATTAAAAAAAAGTCTTATTAAAATAGAGAAAATTGAAAATTAAATGTGCTTAATACTCAATGTTCTTTCCCAGTCATCCTCACACATGTCTGTTCAATATAAATGTAACTTTTATGGATAGTTAATACCAGATACACATCGATAATCTTGTCTTTAAAAAAATCTATATGTGGTTTCATGGGTTTTTGTTTGGGGTGGGTTTTTTGTATTGTTTTGGTTTTGGTTTGGTTTTGGTTTCAGTTTTTTGGTTGTTTTGGTTGTTGTGGGGGTTTTTGGCCTGATTTAATTTGATTTTGTTTATTTTTTGTTTTGGTTTTTCCAAGTTTTTTTTTTTTTTTTGGCTGTTTGGGTTTTGGTTGTTTTTATTTTTTTGATATACAAACAGAGAATGGCAGTTCAGGAGCAAGTGCTCAGAGCTCCAGTCTGTGTTCAGTTTATGCACTCTAGGAACCACAAACCTTTTTTTGTTCAGAGTCATTGGGATGCTTAGCCAGGGAGCGTTTTTTACTAGAGGTAACTGCAAGCAGCACAGAGGGGAAGAAAATCACAGATAAGTGCTCACCAGTAAGGAGGCAATCCCAGTGGTTTCTTTTAATTTATTAGTGTGGAACCAGAGACCAAAACCTGCAATCTATTTACATTTCTAATCCTTCAAAAGGGAAACTGCCTGTTCACATGTTGCACTTCATAGAATCATAAAATCATAGAATCAATCAAGTTGGAATAGATCTCCGAGATCATCAAGTCCAACCCTTGATCCAACACTGCTGTGGTTACTAGACCATGGCACTAAGTGCCACATCCAGTCTCATCTTAAAAACCTCCAGGGATGGTGAATCCACCACCTCCCTGGGCAGCCCATTCCAATGTCTGATTACTCTCTCTGTAAAAAATGTCTTCCTAATATCCAACCTAAACCTACCCTAGCACAACTTGAGACTGTTCCCACTTGTGCTGCTGCTGGTTGCTTGGGAGAAGAGACCAAACGCCCACCTGGTTTATCAACCTGATGTTCCCTTTTTTAATAGTTCCCTTAGCTTTACCACAATAAACACAGTCCTTAACACTGTATACTTGAAGTCCCTTTTTCCCACTTCCCATGCTGGGTGATCACCTTCAAGCCTGTAAACAAGGACTTGGGTGCTGTTATTTGATAAAACTGCTCAGTACTCTTCTGACAATGGCCTTAAATTTCTATCCAAATACAGTTTCTGTTATTAAAAACAAAATAAGAATGATAGAACTTGTGCTCCATTAGAAAAGTCACATGTGGTAGGGCTTTAAAAACAGGCCTAGAGCTCAAAAGAACAATAAAATAAAGAGAAGGAATAATGTCTTTCTCGTCTGTGGTTTCTGGTGCAGGGTTATGGGCAGAGAAGGAAGCAATGCTACCAAAGAGCAGTCAGAGGTGAGAGAGCAAACATCTTGCCTGCTGTGCATACAGAGGGTTTTTCTCTTATCCCATACGCCCTGGTTCTACAAATCTTCTTTTAGACTAAAGCGTAGGTATTCTGCTGAGGAACAGCTCTCTGAAGAAGCTGTAGGTGTAGCATGTCTGTCATTAATCAGGCTGGAGATCACTCTCCAATCATGGAAAATGAAATGAACAGTTAGTCAGTGGGTGAAAAAACAGAGACTCATTTTTCAAGTCTTCTTACCAAATGAACACCTTTTGATGTGTCTTTTGATGACACCGGGTTTCTTGTTTTCTTTTTTTCTGATTCTTATATTAATTTACTGGATATTTAAAATCTAGAGTTGATAGTGACTACCATACAAAAAAATATGATTGTGCTTAGAAGATATCTTAAATATTAAAAAGATAAGGACATAAGCAGACAAATTCCATAATGACAGTTGGAATAGCTAATAATGCTGATAATGAAATACCAGATCATCACTGTAAATTATCACTCATTAAGAATTAATTGGTTATTAAGTGTTTAGAGCTCTACTACTGTTTTGATGATGTGAGAATTATTCCTGATTTTCTGGCATAGGAAATGTCATGCATTGCATGCCTTTCTTTCAGACATATTTATAGCACTGCTGCTGTGAAAGTATCATTGCTAGAGGTTTGGAAATTTGTAAGACCACTTTTTAGATGCCAACACAAAATACATACATATTTCAAACGTATTTGGAGCCCATGATCAAACCATATGAAAATAATCATATAAGAAATCTCTTTAGGACTTCTTTATTCTACACAAATGTCACATTCCCAGGAAATGGCTCTATAACAAAAATTAACACTGAACAGACTTACACTGAAAGAAGATGTTGCTCAGGCTCAATAGCCTGTTTCCAAAAAATACCACTTCCAGTTCACAGAGCCTTGTGTAAGGGAAGAGTGAAACTCAACAACTTAACTCCACACTAAGGACAGTAACTTGGGGAGCAACAAATCAAAACACTTCCTGGTCATTCTGACAGGAGCAGTAAATACAGGAATTCTACTTTTGCATTCTTTGCCCTGCACAGAACCGCAACATAAATGTAATCTTCTATTTTGTTCCTTGCTCAGCTCTAGATGAACAACACAAAATTTTTCATCTTTGTCCCCAAATAGAGACACAGGTGTCTGTTCCCTGATGCACATCTCCCTGAATGAGGTCTGACATTCCTTCTCTTCCATGCAGATGATCTAATTATTCCCATACACTGCTGAAAGACGATGCAGTTTACATGCCATGAGCTGTGTCTCACAATGTGTCTCACTGACATCTGTTCTAGCTGACTTCTGACAGTCAGCACCAGCATGCAACATAGGGCAGGACTTACAGACAGCTGACATGACACAGAAAGCACCATCTGCATCACTTTTAAATCTTTAAAGTCAATTTCCAGCAGTACAATCACAGATGCAGTTTCTTCTATTAGTTATGAGCAGGCTGCCTAGACATATTTCAAAGAACAATTTAGCCTTTAATAATTTTTTGGCTTTTAGTGAGCAATGACTGTTCAGAGTGAATTTACAGAAAACGCATCTTATTAGTATTTCAAATTTCCTAGTCAGAATACCTTGCTGTATAAACTGTCATCTGTTTACAAGAACGGAGTAGCTCATAAGGTGTAGTATGTCAGATAAATATATTAGGAATACTGTAAGAGAAAAATAACATGCATTTGTCCTTATTTTCCTTTAAAATATGAGAGATTTGTGAACACACACTTATTCAAACCTTCATTTCAAGTTAGTCATCATGGTGTTTCACTCCCCAGTTCTTTATATGCTGTGAACCTCCAGTGTCTATGCAGTTGTTTCTAAGGTAACAGATCAAGATGCCTTGTGAAAAAATGAATCAGATCTTGAATATTCAAGACGTCTCCAGTTGCAGAAATGAGAAAAGGGCAGTATCATCTCAACTGAGGGTTCTCAATCTTTTAGAGCCTGGTCTAATTTGCAGGCAAGAAAAATATAATCCATCCTAAGACTGCAAATGTGAGAGTACAGTGGAGCATGCACTTTCAGGCATGTAAACTGTCAGAAATTTTTAATCAGAGCCATAATTAAAGAATTACGGAGGTTGTTCTCAACAGAGTCTCATTGCCTCATTGAAGGGTACACACACACAGAATGCAGATGAAGAATGTGTTTGGTAAGATTGAGCCTTCATTATAACCACTGACAGCTGCACAGAAATCTTTCTGTCAGATATGTGATGCACAAACCAAAAAAACATTAAAAATTAACGTGAACCAGCATGTGAAAATAAATGCATATACACCTTTCTCAAGAGACCAAAAATGTATTATTTCCACCAAAGAAAACAAATTGATATCTTTCACAGGATTACCTCGGTCAGTAATTTTCAGTGAATGGAAATGAATGGAATGGTTTTGTTGAGGTTTTTCTTATTGGTTTGATTGTTTGTTTGTTTCTTTAAGCTGGCTAGAACTACCTTCTGTTTATTTCAAAGTGTATTTTGCTTATTATCTGCTTCCAGAATTCATATAAACATGTAAATGCACGTAAGGCACATAAAGAGAATATTAACTGAAATATGTAAACTATGTAAAAATAATTGATAAAACCTTCAGAGCTTTATTATTTTCCATGTTGTGTAAGGAAAAGTTGAGGCACAGCACCCCGGTAACTTGGGGATCAGACAAAAGGCATGGTCATATGACTGTACAGGTCATGACTGCTTCTACCTGTTTTCCTGTTTTTGAATCCTGTGGTCTATCTACTACATTACAAATTATTTGCTCACTGCAAATGCATGGCATAAAAACTGTTCCGAATATTTACACAGCTTGTTTGGCAACATTCTTCAGCGACTACTCTGCATGAAGAAAATATTAACAGATTTCGGGACTTGTATCATTTTAACAAACTGAAAGGCAGATGCATTGATTAGGGTCTTACGTTCTTGGAAAGATGTGAAGAGCATCTGGAATCGGCTGTTTCGACTGCCTTCATCTGCCCACATACGGATCACACCAAGACCTGTCCGCAGCATTACATCATTAGCAACAGTGCTGCAAAACTTTGCTTTCAAATCCTCCACGGAGCTGCTTCCGTCATAGACAGCTACAAAATTTCTTTTGCATTCATTGGAATTCTGCATCTCGTAGTCCAAGAATCGCAAATAGATCTATGAATCAATCAAACAACAAAGGCAACATGTACAGATATTTGAGAATGACTGAAAAAACATTAAGCAACTTTGCTCTACCTTGTAGGAGAAAGAGTACACACCACCATCATCAAAATAATTTTTCTGGAGCTGGTGATCCATTAGGCACTTCTTTGTAAGGGCATTAATATGTAATGAGTATTATTTGTACTTCCTGGTATTTTTTCTTGCTTCAAATCTATCAGAAAACCTAGGTACTTTTTTGTTCTTATTTGTTATAAGGTCCTAATTTCAAAATATATACCTTTCTTTCAGAAATATGTACAACAGTTCTTCAAGCTGAAGGACAGACAAGCTAGAAATTTCTTCTTTCCCTGTTTGGCACAATATTGCTCTATTACATGCTTGGCATGGAAAATAATAAGGTAAATCAGTGCAGCTCCCTCCCCAGAGTCAGTATGTGTCATCTTTCTACGTCCCTGCTACACCGGCTCAGGAAGTGAGAATCTGAGAGCCAGGCAGAACTCAATCACTACTTTTTTTACCTTCCCTCGAGCAATTTTTCCACCATCTTGGCTCTTCTAAACAAAATTTTGTGGTATATAACTTCATAATGTAGGGTTGAAATCAGGCTTACTTTTTGGAAACTTCTGGAAACCTAGAAAGTTTCTTAGGAAATGTCTCTTGCATACAAGCTAAGTTGTCTCATAAAGTAGTAGATACAGTCCCTTTTGCAAAGAACTCCTTAAATCTACCTAAAATGAGCAAGGGTGACGATAAAAGGCTATTATTTGATATTCAAGTGTATACGGACTTCAACAGAGAAAACCACTAATTTTAAAAGCATTTGATTATACAAGCAAAATCAAATATTCCATTAACAAAGAAGGCAAGTAGTATTTTCAGTGGATACATGACACACAATCAAACTGTCAAGGGTACCTGGGAGACTTCAAGGTAAATTATGGCAAAAATAGTATAAAAAGAGAGTAAACATGCAGTACACAGCTGTGTGCATCTCCACTTGAGAAAATAACCAAAAAGAAACCCCACTGTATTAGATATAAAATATACTTTTTTTGAAACAAATTATTGACATCAGGTATAGAACAATTGCTTAATATACTATTCTGAATTTGCATAAAGTACATAAACATAGCATACCCTAGTAGCAACAGGACTCACCATTTCAATTCATGAATACATTAAAGCTCTTACGGTCTGAGAATTATGTGCTCTTAAGCAATCTGCTACTGTTTAATAATAGCTCAGATTTTTTTTTATGAGCCTTTTCAGGTAGCATATTATGGTGCATTTTCATTCCTCGTTAGGCTTTGCATAAGAGTTTCTCTAAAAAGAGTACCTGTAGAAAAAAATTTTACTAGCAAATGAACTTTGGTATACTAAGTTTCATTTTGCTTGCCACACCTTCTTTTAGTATGTTATTTCTTACAGTAACCCCTTCTTATGTTCCATCCTTCCCATCTTTCAGAAGAATTTAGAGGAACATATTTCAATTAAACTCAATTAAGTGAATTCTACTTTCCCCACCTATCTTGGGGTTTGCATACTATAAATTAAGAAGCTGTTTTTATTGATCTTTATGAAATGGAGCAGTTAACAGCAATACACAAAGAAATATTCAGATGGAAATATCTTACATGAAGGCATACTTTTTATAGTGTTTTTCACTTCATTTGTTGGTTACTCCAGTAAAGCAGTGGAATGATACATACTATTGTCCTGACAGAGAAAGATTCCACATGGGGAAGGGAGGTATGGGAAGAGGCAGAGCCGTGATACCCATACCCAGCAACTGGCCCATAGTTGGGACACACCAGTGCTGCTCCTGCTTAAACAAGAAACAGGCTGTGCAGCCCTGGCACCCAGCCTCTCCTGTGAATCTGCTGAGACAGTCCATAGTCCATCTCTGCATAACTTAGTACAGGGAGTTAAATGTATACCTTGCTTTTCTTTTTCTCCATTATCAGAATTAGTCTGCTTCAGACAGGCACTTCAGTGCTTGCCAGCTTTGTTACAGGTAATGCAATAAAACCCTCCTGCAGCTGATTTTATACAATACTGTATAAATGTGACTGTTTTCCAGGAAGCATGCTGTCTCACAGAGAAGAACAGACGGCTTCCAACATATTATTTTCATGAATCATGACTGTAACACTATATATGCCTATCATATGTATACCATCTGTATGTTACAATATACCATATATATATATGATAGACCACACAGATATAATGCAATGTATCACATCACATTTTTATCCCATTTTTATCTATCCCATTTTCAGGAGAGCTCTTATTAACTTCAGAAAAAAAATTATCTTAGTCTGACTACAGAATAACAGTAAAATTACACCTACTGGGTGAAAGACCTCTCATGCTTGTTCACGTTCTTTACTTCTACCCTGCTGTCTTATATATATGCATTTATATGTTCAAGTGTATGTGTGCACACATATATATAAGCACACGTGTAGCTTGTAAAGAGTATCCCATTTCAGTACTGAGATGCAATTTTTATGAGTTCTCATTCTTACTAGAAATGTGTGCTAATCCTCACTGGGGTTACAAAATACCAGCTCTCACAGCAATTTCCACCATTCATCAATTATTCCTGTTCTGTTCAACCGTCCTATTCATACAACAGTACAGCCAAAATCTTATTTCTATGGGTTTATCATTTGACCTTCTCTAGTTTCTGGCATCACACTAGCCTTACAAAATAGTAAAATATTTCTTAGAGTAGCAGTCATAAATGCTGAAAAGGAATCAAGAGAATAATAACTTAGCATTTTGCTTTGAATCTTTCAGTGAAGAAGCCAACACCTTCAGTTCTTCCCAGGACAGAATTCTGCTGTCAGTCATACCAGTTTATTCCTCTGTGTGAGAAATTCAGCTAACAACATATATAGACTTGTTAGGTACTGGAACCATTGGAAAGAAATATTTGATTTAAAAATCTATGTCTATCCTTCAGAAGAAAGATGCCACCTTCTCAATGACATGAAGTTTCCTAAATTAGACTAAAAAATTTCTGATATTCTGAGGTAAGCTGAATTTTCATTCTCAGAATCTCCTTTGGAGATGACTACTCCCAGAACTTTATATAAAATAATGAGGACTTGATACAACACTCACTGAAATCAGTGGGTATTTTTCCATTTACTTATTTGGATCAGACCTTTGGATTAAGACTACAGTGAATTTTCAAAAACAAGAAACATTACATACACTGACAATCTGATATTGGATCTGATTTTATTTTAAAGTGCTGGAATAATTTAATTGCATCTGCACGCCTCTGCCAACTTTTATGGTTTTATAACTATATATTTGCCATTGTTCCTGTCACTGGCTGTAAGACCGACATTGGCAGAAGAAAATGACTAATAAATTGAGTTCCCCGAGGAAAGAATAAAACTGATTATATGACAAACTCTTACCTAATGCAAAATGTTCCCTATATATAGTTTTGAAATCAGTGGCAATATTCTCATTACTTTCACTGGTATGTGGATCTTAATGAAATTAATAAGAAATCTAACTAAAATTAATAACAAAATGAAATAAAAATTATCAATATTTCTGGTTATATCATTTCCAGAGACCTCAGCCATTACTTCTACCAGTAGTGGATAAGGAACTTTGTTACCCTGAAACAAAACAAATGAACTAAAGAAGAGGTCACAAAATCAACCACCATCTGCTTTCATTAAGAATTTTTTCACTGATGCCAATAGGAGCTTTTGAAATGAACATTTCCATAGATACTGACACATTATATTACCATAATTGGAGCATTCTTGTTGAAGAGAACATCTTGTTTGAAAGGAGCATAACTGCTATATCTTCTTTCATATTTTTGCTGCAAAGTTTTAATAAGACACTTTCCTCAAATCATCCATTCCACATTACCTAGAAGAGTGGGTTGCTCAAGTATTAGATTTACTGAGTTTTGAGATGTCACTGCAAATGCCAATGTCATTAACAACAAAACTGATTAAGCCTCACTGAAACTGTGGCATATATAATTTACTATCAGTCACATTATATTTTAAATAATTGTCTTGTCACATTTAAGGTTTGTATTGTAATCATGAACAATAATCAAAAAGAGAAATGCTGAATAAGTTTTACTATTCTTTTAATTTAAATCCAAAACCAACAGAAATCTCTGACTGCACATATTAGGAAAAAAAAATATAACCCATTATAAACTATAAACCTCAGTAAAATGGTCAGATTATAATCTCTTCATAGTGAATCACTTTTGATGAGTTCTGCTTTTTAATCAATCACTGAATGTTAGGGCTGACAACATGATTGATCAGACCAGTCAGGAAAAGCTTCAAACCACATCCCAGCATATCAGACTTAATATATAAGCACAGACACTCAGTCCCCTTAAACGAAACCAAACCAAACAAACAAAAAAGCTATCGTTCAGCCGCCAAAAACAATTTAGACATAAGGAAGAAACCTCAGGTCCATCCAAGCATAATGTCCAGATTTCGCATATTCAGCGTCTGGGTTCAGTCAATTCACTTGTAAGCACAGGGCTGGGTTAAATCATCCTATGTCCTTCCCCATTGCTCAGTGATCAGTTACAGCACCTGCTTGATTCTGCATCTTTTTCAGCTCTATGTAATTAGCAAAAGGACTCTCAAGATGATACCTACAGTATTTAGTCCTCAGAAGCCCTGTTTTTTAAAGCAGATTGAGCAAACACTAATTAATCTCCTTCAAGGCAACAAGGCGCCAAGTATACCAGCCTAAAAAGCATATTATTACTGATGACACTTGAATTTGTCTTCTGATGTGACCCGTCTTCTTGCTTGGATCTTAAACTTTATTTCAATCAACATTACTTCAATCCAAAAGTGTTAACAGTATGTGTTCTGTTTGGATTTTTGGTTGGCTGGTTGGGTGTTTTTTAGGTTTTGGGGCCTTCTGTTACCAGTCTGGGAACATACTGTGCAAACAGAGAACTCCATACCTCATATTTTCATATCTTCTGGGGCTTGAAGAATACTGTCTGTCAAAGGTGACAACATTATACTGTACTTCTAAGGCCCAGTGATTCACAGCCAAGGCTCAGACATCAAAACACCATTTTCTTGGACAAGTGAAGCTCTTTGGATTTCTTTGCTTTGTCCTATTTGTTTCTTCAAACTTCTGGTGACTACCCAATAGCTGACATTTATTCGAACTGTCAAGTCACCCTCATTTTTCTCTAGTCCAGTGACAAAATGCTTGCAAATGACAACCTTTACAGTTCCTTGGTGTTGTTCTGCTTTTTAACACTGAAAACTGTAGATCAAATCCTGATTCTGCTGTTCTTTTTGGCAGATGTTTTATTGCTTTCATCAGTAGCTTTTTCTTATCACATTTCCTACTATTTGGTTTGAAGATGCTGAGGTTGGTTATATTTCTACACCTGAATGGAATAAATTCAAGGGAACTTAAAATTGGTGGTTTCTTTGACATGTCAGTGTTACTTTGACATGTGCATTAACATGTCTGCTAGCAGAGTTTCTACGTACATGTAATTGTCTTGCACCTTCATCTAAGAAAATTGTTTCAAATAAGTGATTCAAATAGTTTATTGCAGATTAACAATATTTTCTACTTGTTTAAACATAATTTGTTCAACCTTGTTCCAGGGATGTCATATAAATATGTTGGGTTTTTTTTATTTCATAATATTATTTTCATTATCTGTATGTTAGCAAGCTTCAGAGCTTTTTCAGAGATAGAGCTCATCTGAAGCCTGCAAAAGAGTCTCTGGCTATTAGTTTGCTCAGTCTCTAAATTTCATTTTTCCGTAATATTTTAAGAATTAAAACTCAAATGGCTCCTATTAAATTTTAGTGCACTACTTAAAGCTTCTCTTCTACACCCGATTAAGAAGCCTACAAAAATGAGGGATATGGTAGCCTGCCAGTGCTGACAGCTTAGACTGCTTTTCTTGCAGGCCTCATTTGAGAGCACTAGTTTCCACTTGACATGGGAGAGCAGAAGATGTTTTGTTTTAGTCAGATTGCTTTAAACTGACTCTTAACTCTGCAGTTTGATTCACTGCATGTTTCCTCCTAACTGGAAATGCATGCACAACAAGCCAGTCTCTCTCTGTACTACACTCCATATGAAGTCTGGCACCTGGAACCATCTCTTTATTTGGTTAAGTGCATGGATACAAGGTCCAGCATGACAACAGTGACAAGTGATTTAGAGCCTCTACCCGGTAGCAGTACCTATTCTTTGTAAATATGCAAATGTTTTGGTCACACGGGGGCTCTTGGCCCATGCCCAGCGTCATCCTGCAGCACCCCAGCCTTGTCCCTCCCCAAGCTGCTGCCCGGCTTGTGCTTGGGCTGGCCTCATTGCCCCAGCAAGTCCAGCCATCACTATACTGCAGCCTCCATGGCTGGGCATGTCCAACTCTCTTCATCAGCCATGCCCTGGCCCTGTGGTCACCGTCTGCCTGGCCCCCTTCCATCTGCAGTGCAGCCCCCTCCTTCTGCTTCTCAATGGCTCTGCTTGAAACAAACGTCACCACCTACAGGCAGCTCAGCATTAAGGGTACTGCAATAATATGTCAAAACTAGATACTCATTAATTGACACTTTTGGTTCCTCAATCTTTTGTGTTTTTCTCAATCTTTTCATCCTATAACCTATAAAGATATCTTCTTTGCCCCACAGCTTGCTCAGGTGGGGCAAGAAAATTAGGCATCACTTTGTTTAAAAAGCTTCTAACTTCATTTTTTTTTCTCATGATATAAATACAGAGGGTATCCCTGCTATTTTGTCAGAATAAATGTACTTCTTGCTCATTCCTCCAGAACAGATTACTTCCACTGGACTACATTCAAATTAATTCTTGCCTATCTGTACTTTTTGATGCTGTTTCCTGAGCTGCCCAGAGCTTCTGGTAATAGTGCTTATAATAGCACTGCTCACTGTATTTTCCTAGCATATTGATATTTCCCAGCATATCATATTGGTAAACAGTTTATTACTCTTATTGTCACATTCTGCTGTGTTTTTTTTTCTACAGAACCTCTGAAAGAGCAAGCATGACACAAAGCTTGGGAAAGTTGCTCACCCAAGGGTGCAGTACTTGAGTACAAACATGCATTCTGTCTGCCTGGGAGGCCTTGTCAAACTCTGCTGACACATCCAATATAGAAAAACACTTGCTGATATTAGTCTCCAAAATTCCACCCTTAACAGAAAGTAATAAATTACTACAGTTCTTTTTATTTTCTTATTTTCTATTCCTAAATACAGACACTTTGCTTATCCAGTGCTTGTAGGCAATGATATCTCTGAAGTTTTTCAAATCCTTATGCAATAAGCTTATACACTTCTTTCTTTGGGCTTTGTTCTCCAGAGAAGAATTTTCAGATGGGGATGTTCCTCCAGAACTTTACTGTTCTAGGTGCACTGGCACATTCAGTCAGCATCTCACTTCTTAATTTTGCATTCTTGCTCTGATTACTGATTGAAGTCACCTTCTACATGAAGTGCAGAAACTCCAGTATTACTGAACTCTAAATTCACAGCAGCAACTAACTTTGAATGATTATGAGAAACACATACTTTTCAACCAGTCACTTTCAAATATAAGACTCCAGGTCTGCATGTAGGTTGAAGTGGTGTTCAAACTGCCTTCAGCTGTCTTCTGCATTCACAGAAAGTTTCTGTCCTGCATGCACTTTTAGGGTGGGGGTTTTGGTTTTGTTTGTGTGTTTGGGGTTTTTTGCGCTGAGTGGGGGAGGTGGAGAGGGTGGGGATGGGTGTTTGTTTTTTTTGTTTGGGTGGGGTTTTTTTGTTATATAAGGTAATCAGTGACCACTCTAAGTATATGCAAGAAATTTGGTGTCCTCTGTCTCATTCCAGCTCGCTGAGGATAGCAACACTAGACCCAGACTGTCAGTTTGGAGCTCAGGTTCAGAGATCTCAAGTTCGTACTCCCTGGCAGATCTCATTGCTCATACGTTGAGCTCAGGCTTGGCTTCAATCTTGAATTGGAAACCAAAGGAAGGACTTGACTCTTGCATCTGCAGACAGTTTAGATTGGATGAGTTTAAGCCAAATGCAATTGCAAGCAACTCACATTCTGGCACAGTTTAATTAAGAAGCTAAAGATGCAAAGATCCAGCACAAACTCTGCTCTTTTAGGCATAATTCCCAGTAACAAACTGTGCAGCCCAGAGTACAGGAACATGTGGATTTAAAGATGCTTACTGAGTTCTCCCTGTTTTCATAGGTGCAAGCTGACATAAATTAAAATGATGTCACTAAATAATTGTACTGAATATGTAATTAGTTCAAGGTTAGATAAGCACAAAGGAAGCTGATGGCAAAGCATGGACAATAGAATCAAGCTCAATTGAATCAGACCCATAAAAAATGTTATCATAAATTTTACTTCACAGAAGTTTCTTTAGAATTTATTCAATTATTCCTTCCTTAATATCTGAAAATTCTTCAACCTGTCCCAGTATGGTGAAACGTATATACCTGTGTGTGTATATATATATATATTTTTTTTTTCAAAACTGACTAGGAAAGTTCAAATGGACTTACCCCTCAAAGATGGATCTAGGCTTGAAAACTTTTTTTCCTAGCTTGCTGTGAGATCTTTCAAGTCCACATGTTAGGAAACACTGATTTATATGCTTTTATATTGCTCAATCTCTATACCCAGATAGCTCTGTAAGATGGGAACAGCAAGATCCATCAAGAGATGACCCATCCCAACTCTCTGCCTACAGGTAGGATTGATTAGCACTGTTTCTCCCATTTTTCATATGCTGTTATCTAACCTGCACTAGCAATGTTAACTAAACAGACTTTTTCAACCAATCACTCATAATCCCAACCAATCATAATCCCCTCACTCTTGTTTGAAATTTTCTTCCTTAGTATCTAACCTGAAACTTTTTCTCAGTGTGGGACCATGAGTTATCCTACAGACATGGACATTAGAGCATTCCTTCCTCATTGTAAAAGCCTTTTATTATATCATGCTCCTTCACAAAATCTTGTAGACTACATTAAATAACTTTCAGTATTATTTCTATTTTTCTGAAGCTCTCTTGTTGCTCTCACTTCCAGATGCCCTTCAGCTAGGATACTCTTCTTGAAATGCAACACAACTAAATGTAGGTCTGGAAGAATTAATGAACTTTAATCTTTAACTCTATATTAACAGTTAGTGTGGTGTCCTTCTGTTACACACTGTGTTTATGGTTATGTAGCTACCCAATTTGTATTTTTACATTGGACTGAAGTATGGATAAATACTACAGGTAAGTAAATATGGGATTTTTAGGAGGTATTTTAATCATATAGAACTTTGGAGTTAGATCAAGTAAGAACATGGTGACGACATTATCAGATCAATCAATTATGAATTTGAATTAATGCTATAAGATAATTTTGTTGGCTTATTTGTGCTGATTCTAATAAGTGCAATTCTAACTTCATGTTTACCTGTTTTCATTCTACTAATATCTAAGTACATCATAGAGTAGTTTGCGTTGGAAGGGACCTAGTCCCACTCCCCTGCCATGAACAAAGATGTCTTCCACTAAATCCAGTTGCTGAGTCCCAACCAACCTGACCCTGAATGTTTCCAGGAATGGGTCATTGACCACCTCTCTGGGCAATATGTTCCAGTGTTTCAAAGCCTTCATCTTAAAAAATTTCTTCCTAATACTTATTCTAAATCTACCCTCTTTTAGTTTAAAACCATTATCCTTTGTCCTCTTACTACAAGCCATGCTAAAATGTTTGTCCCCACTTTGCTTATAGGCCCCTATGAAGTACCAGAGGGCTGCTATAAGGTCTACCCAGAGCCTTCTCTTCTTTTGACTGAACAACCTCAACTCTCTCACCATTCCTCACTGCAGAGGTGCTCCATTCCTCTTACTATTTTTGTGGCCTCCAACAGGCCCATGTCTTTCCTATTCTGAGGACCCAGAGCTGGGCACAGCACTCCAGGTGGGGTCTCACAAGAGAAGAGTGGAAGGGTAGATTCACCTCCCTCGACCTGCTGGGTACGCTGCTTTTGATGCAGCCCAGGATACAGTTATTTTTCTGGGCTGCAAGTGCACATTGCTTATGTCCAGCCCCTCATTTACCCAAAAAAGACCTTCTCGGCAGGGCTGCTCTCAATCTGTTCATCACCAAACTTGTTTTGATACTGGGAGGTGCCCTGAATGAATGTAAATTATATATAATATACCTAATAATCATTCATCAGCCCAGTCATCTCATATCACTGCCTGGTATAACAAAGTAGGAAGCTCATCTACTTAATTGAAAACCCCTATCAATACTAAATTTATCAAAAAGTAAAAACCCAGATATGAGATTAAAGTATATTCTGGAAATAATTTATCTGTAGTCTTTATGAGCCAACTCTTCTCCTCAGCTTTCCCATAAGAAAAATGCTGAAACTAATGACTTCTCTTCTGGAAACCCTTACTGGAGAGAACCCTTCAGAATTCATCCATGTGCTATACTGATGATGAAACAGTTATATTTCAGTACAGTCTCCTCTCTGAGATTATACACAAAACCCCTTATCTGTTTTAAGACAGCAGAGATTAGTACATATATAAATTCTACCTTGTAAAACCTTTCCTGTCCAATAAAAGACAGCTAGAAAAAGTACACTGTGAAATCTCTTTAACATAGTGAATAAAAGCAGGTGGGAGGCACAAAGCTGTTCCAATTGCAAAGAGAGGAGAAGCAGTAGTTTTTCAGCAACAATTAATGCATATAATAACTGATAAGCTACGGATAAGAGGGGAAATCAAGCAGAATCCAGGAAAGGTATTGTTAAATTCATTGCAGCCCTCTCATCTTAAAAAGGCATGGCTTGCTGTCTGTTGTGGGAAGGAAATGAGAACACTATCTCTTTTCATCTGTGGCTCTAAACCAAAGGAACTAAAGGTTTTATACAGAGGAACGTGAATTTACCTTGGGTCCATTTTCACAGTTCCCAGATGAGAAACAATGATGACCTTAGGGAGCCAGCAGTGTTCCCTTAGCAGTCTCTATATTAGGTATTTGAAATATATTGAAAATTAAAATGATAAGATTACTTCCCTCTTAAGAAGACATGTTGATTCTTTAAAAATATGAGCAAAATTAAAGATGAATTTAAGAAAATTACAAAAGGCACATTAGCACTACTCACATCATCATTTATAGAGAAAGGTGGTTATTTTGGCTGAGATGACAAATTACCCTTCCACAGCAGAAGGAAAAAAATAAGTTTACAGTTAAGGCTGTAAAGTTATTAAACAAGATCTGACTGTACTAAGAAATGCACAACATATTAGAAAAGTCAATTTCTTAAATTAAATGGCAAATCAGCAAGGGGATGAAGGACTGACCTTGGATCGGGGTGGCGCTCGGATGTACCATTTACAGTCTACTGCTTCAGTTTCAGAAGCTTTTCCTTCTTTGACAATTTGTACAGATTCCACAATTCCTTCAGGTCCTCCCATCTCAAACTCACAAACTGAATAACAAAACACCAGAAAAAATGAAACCTGAACAGCAAACAAAAATATTTTCTACAGAAGAGCATAAAGGCCTCCAAGTTAGAAGAAAACCCAAAACCAACATACCAACCTGGCAATGGCTTCAAAACACCAAGGTCCTTAAAATCTGGATCTTAAAAATAGAGAAAGATAAAATTAGTTTTGTTCAATATCTAGGCTTTAATGTCAATGTGCTAAAATTTGATAATGCACTGCAGTGATATAATTATACATATACTTCTTGGAAATGCGAAATGTTTCAAAACTATGGCAACACACTAATTATTAATGCAGAAATTAGTGATACTATCATACCAAGTTATTTTTTTCTGTTATGAAATCCTGCTTTTCTCTGTCTCTCTCTTTCAGAAAAATGAGTTCAAAAATATTTCTGCATACATTAGCAAGGGAGAACATCACAGAGCTAACCACATGATATTTTAATACATCAGCCTAACGAAAGAGGATATATTTACAGACCCATTCAGAATCTTTTTGCCTATTTTGCATTTTACAGTATAACACTGAACTTAACTAGACAAATCTAAACTTCATTCCGTGTTTTTGGATACTCTACCATTCCCACTGACCAAGAGGAGACATTTCTTTGTGAGAAGCATCCATTTGGCCTTACTGGGAAAAAACATCATAAGGATTTACAGTGGAATACGGTGTGTTAACAAGGTAATAAGTCTAATATGTGGGCTATTTTTCATCAGATAAACATGATTATATTTGCTGTCTGAGAGGGTTTGTATCATGCTTTTATAGCCAGGTGTAATAAATAGAAGAAATGAGTTTGGTCTTAGACCTGTTCTTCAATAAACAACAATCCATAGACAAATCATCATTTCACAAAATTTGGCCCAATTTGAAGATACTGTCCAAAATCAGAAATGTGAGAGACTACAATATTTTAAGACATGATTTCTTAGAATAAACTGGTCTTGTCTAGAAAATTGTTATCCCTTGCATGGCTTTTCTACCTAAAACAAATGTTTTGCACTGTTTTTCTCATTTACACATAGAGCTGATCTTGTTTCAGAATTGAGACAATGTAGAAAGAACTATTAATAAAACAATGAAGAGAAACTTTGGAGGTAGGAGATGTAACAAATGAAAGAAACCAAACCTGAAACCAATCCACCACGAAAACTCCTGTTTCCCTCTTCCCTTAGTCCATCCTGGATAGTAAGAATCATAACCAAATAATATAATGAAAAAGCCTAGTGTTTTGTAAGCAAGATCAGCCATTTTAACCTAAATGGTCAAAATTTATTGACTTCAAAAACTGGAGTTGTAAAATCACTTTTTAAGATATTCCTCTATAACCAGGCTGCTGTTGTTCTTCTCATTTATCATTTACAGTTGCACAATATAAATCACAAATAAATACTTATGACCTTCTGAAACTGCAAATATAACTGAGCAGGCAATTATCATTAATTGTTAAGCAGTTTTATAGATCAGTAGATATAAATGATAATCAAGAGCACCAAACGTAATGAAATATTTCAGTTAATGTGCTTGGATGTTGATATCTAATGCTGAAAGGAAATACTTAAAGGAAACCTACTTCTGGTTCAAAGTAACATCCCAACTGTATCCCATGTAACCATTGCATTTCTTTCTTTTACTGAGTTTGCTAGGATCACTCTGATCTACTGAAAACACTCCAGTGCATTAGCAAAGTACAAAGGAGGAAGAAGGAGAGAAAGGTCCTGCCAGGATCTTCCCCATATGAAGGTATTTTCATATAAAGTAGTGCCAGTAGCAAGAATCCAGGCTGAAGTATAATCTAGACCATGCAATTTGCTGCACAAAACAATTCTTAAAGTATGTTCTCGTTCAACAATACAGTAACATTGGTAACAGCCCACACAGAAGTGCACAATCTCTTAACATTCTAGGCATATGGTACATCTTGCTCACTCTTGAAAAATAATCTTTTTGCAAGTTCTCAACATTTTCAAGACTAATGATGAAATAAAATCTACGACACCTGAGGTGATTTACTTCATTACCATTGCCAGAATACCAATAAAAACAAAATCTGTAAATAACGTATTATCAGAGATGCTTAAAATTCAACCATGTTTAAGCATATTTACCAAGTAAATATTTGCTTTTTAAATTGTCTACCATTAAATAGATTAGTCTTTAGCAACTCTTCTGTACATAATTCAATCAAATTGTTGTTCTCAGTCTGGCTGAGTCAGAACACTTTTAATGATATCTAAACACTGAGTGGCTAGATCTTCCAATAGAGAGATGAAAATCATGTTCCCATAAGGAAAAATTCCCCTAGAAGGAAAACTCTGAAAAAGAATGAAAAAGAAGATGGATTACCGATAAGGAGAGAGAAAAGTAAGATTCAGTAGGCTGTAAGGGCAATGAAATACATGCAGATATTTTTATCAGGATCTTCTTAATAGCAAAATTAAGGATGTAAAGAGAAAAACAAGAATGTTCATAAAAATTGTGAAAATATTTAAAGTTTATGCAAATGGAAGACCTTACATCCAGAAGGAGTTCTGTGACTCTTTCCTGGAGCACTGAAAGTCTCTTTTAAAACAAAGTAAACTCAACCAAATAAAGTTTATTTCTTCCAGTGATATATTACAACCCACTCCAAAATAACAGATTACTGTAATGTTTATTTATTATAAGCTTTACTGTAAAGCTATTGAAACTTTTTATGAGATGTAAAAAACTGTACCAGGTTTTTTAGAGTTGCTGGAAAACAAGTAGAATGTGAAACTTTGTAGTGGCATACAGAGAAAATGATAGTAATCTGTAATTTCCTTAAATAGTAAAAAAAATGAATAAGCAGACAGTGAGGTGGACCATGCCAGTGATGGTATAGATCAACTTAGAAGGAAGTTTGAGGCCAGTAAGGCATCAGAGGGGTCAAGACTGGGAGAAATCCACTTTAATATCCTCTTTAACAACCTGGATAATGAGACCGAATTTGCTGATGACACAAAACTGAGAGAAGTGGCTGATTCACCAGAGGGTCATGCTGTCATCCAGAAGGACCTCAAGCAGCTGGAGAAACAGACTGACAGGAACCTCATGCAGTTCAACAAGGCAAAGTGCCAAGTCTTGCGCCTGGGGAGGAGCAACCCCATGCACCAGAAGATACTGAGACCACCCAGCTGTAAAGCAGCATTGCTTAAAAGGACTCAGGGGTCCTGGTGGACATCACATTGAATATGATCCTATAATATATCCTTGGAGTAAATAAGGCCACCAGTACCCTGGGCTGCATTAGGAGGAGTGCTGCCAACCAGGCCAAGAGAGCTGATCCTTCCCCTCTACTTGACACCGGTAAAGTTAACATCTGGAGCACTGTGACCAGTTCTGGGCTCCCCAGAACAAAAGCAGTATGGAGTTGCTGGGGTCCAGCAAAGGGTCATGAATCTGTTTAAAGGTTAAAAGCATCTCTCATATGAGGAAAGGCTGATAGAGGTGGCACTGGTCAACCTGGAGAAGAGCAGGGTCAGAGGTGGTCCTACAGATCTGTACATAAACCTGAAGGGAGTCTGTAAAGTGAAGAGAGCCAGGCTCTTTTTAGTGGTATCCAATGACAGAACAAGTGGCAATGAGCACACACCGAATCACAGGAGGTTCCGACTGAACATTAGGAAACACTTTTCCACTGTGAGAGTGACTGAGCACTAGCACAGGTGGCCCAGAGAGGTTATGGAGTCTCTATCCTTGGGGATATTCAGTAGCTGTCTAGACACAGTTCTAGACAAGTGGATCTAGATCACCCTGCTTGAAAAATGGGTTTGACAAAATGACCTATAGAGGTGCCTTCTGATACCAGCCAATTTGTGATCCTCTGATTCTGTAATAACTAAACACCAGAACTGGATAATAGTGAAATAAACAGTCAAAAGACTAGACTTATATCTAAGGTATAAGCAGAGATGAGACAAATTTTTATCACAATGTAGACTTACACTTATGGAATTTTTTGAGTCATGAGTGCATATATATCCAACCTGGAGAAAACTGAAATATTTAGGACTGGTTTCAAAATGGTCCACTAGGTCTTCATGGGAGACTCTAAATATTTTGGATGTTGGCTGTGGAATCTATTCCATATCTGGCCCATGGAAACCATACTACATTTCTTTATTTTTAATTTCACTGTTACTATGCAACAAGTCTGGCTTTTCGAAGCAGCTGGCAAACATGGAATTTAAATGAGAAAACAGGACGTCAACTGTAAGGAGTTAGGGCACCTGATTGCTCAGAAATCTTATGAAGTAAAGAAAATTGTAAAGCAAAAAGGGATTGTGCATTAACTGGATTAAGTCTTCAAAAAGTATGTAGATGCCATTGTTTAATGGATACATACAGCAAGTAGTCAGTACATAAAAACCATTTCATAATGTTAAGTAGGGAAACTCTCCCCTTCTACTCACTAAAAAGACAGCTGTAGATATATCTTTTCATTTCCCTATCTTTGACTAGAAATGGGCATTCAACTTCTATCTATCAATATTTAAGAAATTTTAACACATGCACATGCTTCACTGTCAGAGAACTTATTAGAGACTTGATTTTGCATGTAAATGCTCATAGAAAAGTAAAGAGACAGTTTTTAATTGCTCTATTCAGCAAGCCACCAGTTATTTATTTTCATGTTTACAAAGTGAGGTTCTTTTACAGTGATTTCTGGGAGTCTAAACCAGTCCTATCCTCTTGAGCAGAGAGGTACAGTTCTCTGTAAAAGCAGATCTTGCAGAACCCTTTATGCAGCACACTGTGGAAATGCAGAGAAGAAAGGATCCTATGACGAGTATTTCAGGGGCTGTATGTACCTTCATCTGCTGTTTCTGAAAAAACGTGTGAAGCAAGACTGAAGGAGCTCAGGAGTCCACTTTATCTGAGTAATGCAGCCTTGCTGTGACAGTGCAGCTGACTTGACTGCCAGGACTGACTATCAGTCAAGGTCAGCACCTTGTATGTGTCTCCCCAAGATAATACCCCAGAGGCTTCCTGTAACTGACTAATGGCCTCCGAACTTGACTAGGAAGAGAGATGTGGGATCCTATGGTGCTTTTGCTGAATAATGTTGAATTCTAAGTATTCTTAGTCATGCAATTTCAGGGCAATACT